CAGTATGCATGACAGTTTATCTAAGGTAAATATGCAGTTAGAAGTGAAATAGGTGGACCATAGGATTTCTTCAATTTTTCTTTCTTTTTTTTTTTTTTTTTTTTTGGTATCGGGGATTAAACTTGGGACCTTGTGCTTGTGAAGTAGGTGGCAGAACCACTGAGCTAAATCACTGGCCCCCGATATCTTCAATTCTGCATATTAAAATAACTTCAAATTTACTCTCCTAAGAGGTTGTCTTTACTGTATGAGAATAGTCCTAATCCCTGTCAACATTAGTTTACATTGGTTGTATTACTCCATTTTCTGTTGCTATAACAAAATATCTGAGGCTGAATACTTCATTTTATTAAAATTTATTTAGAGCTTACAGTTTTAGGAGGGGAAAGTCCAAGTTGGGTGACCCTATAAGTTTGGTTTAGGTGAAGGCTACATTGGCTGCATCACAGAATGGCAGAGGAATGGAAAGGGAAATAATTGTGTACAAAAGAGGCCAAGTACACAGAGTGGCCTAGATTATAACAACCTACTCTAGTGAGAACTAACTCACTCTGAGACCATCATTAATCCCTTCCAAGAGCAGCACATGCAACGACCTAACATTCACCCATTAGGCCCCATCCCTTAATGGTTCCACTACCTCTTTTTTTTTCTTTCTTTTTTTTTTTTTCAGTGCTGCAGATTGAACTCAGGACTTCACCTATGCTAGGCAAGCATTTGTATCACTGAGCTACATTCCTAGCCCTTTACTACTTCTCAGTACCACCTCACTGGTGACCAAACCTCTAGTCCATAAACTTTTGGGGAACAAACCACATCTAAGCCATGGTGTCAATTGAATTTATATAAACTTCTGTGCTGTTATTGATTCCACTTGTATTTTACTGAGTAGTCATGAAGCTGAGCATCTTCTCATGACTTTACTGGTCACTCAGGAATTTCCTTCTGTCCCCTCTTTTTCCCTTGATAGCTTTTTTATTATTCCATTATTGATTTGTTAAAGTTTTAAAATTTTTGGTAAAATTATGGTTTTGGTTTTTGCTTTTGGTAACAGGGATCAAACTCAGGACCTTGCACCTGCAAGGCAGACAGCAGCACCATTGAACTAAATCCCCGGCCCGAAGTCATGTTTTTATACTAAACTTTCATTACATGAGTTGAAAAATTTCCCTTCTCTTTCAAAGATGAATAAAAACTAAATTAATATGAGCAAGGAGTGAGGAATAATCTATCATGCAAGTGTATACCCCAAGCTGAGCTAGAAACTGGCTAGACCATGGTTGTACAAAGCACCTAAAAGGAGATAAATGAAAAAGAGATATAAACCAGATTATGTTCCAAAGGATTCATTGTTCTCTTGCCCAATTTATGGAAGATGATATACCCAATTAAAACTCATTTTAAACCTATAATTCCAGCACGTGGGAGGCTGAAACAGGAGGATTGCCATGAGTTTGAGGCCAGCCTGGGCCATACAGTGAGGTCGTGTTTCAAAAAATAAAAATAAAAGACAACAATGTTGACTGAAAAAGGTAGATTGCAGGAGGATATATAAAATGTGATAGTCCTCAAAAATGCAAAAGGAACTAGGTGGTACACACTTGTAATCCTAGCACTTAGGAGCTGAGGCAGGAAGAAAGTTATTTTCCACCCTCTTTCTACATTTTGAAAGTCATCCCTTGGTTAGCGTTTTAACAGCCATAGCGTTCCATAGAAAAGATTCGTCTTTTCTTCCGTAATTAGTAAAATAATAAACATTTTTAAATCTCTAGAGTGATATTCTGGAAAGATATCAATATTGTATCTGCCATCAACATTTCATCCAATGGGTTTAGCATCCAGTAGTCTTTCTAGTATTAACGGGAATATTTTCTGACCAATATTTATTTTTAAAATGACTAGCTTAAAATTTAAAAATTACAAATAGAGCATATTAGGCTGTCAGCCAAAAGTCCTCCACTCTCTTCTATTCCTCATTAACAATTTCTCCTATTTCTTTTCTAAAATTTAAGATTCTTGATGAGAACACAAAACCATAGAATACAAAAGAGAATTAAATAAGTGCCTTAATAGAATAGGAATACATTCGGCGGTTTCAACAAGGGAATTTTTTTTTCCTAATGGGGAAGAGACATTGGAGGTAGTGTACCTGGGGAGTGAGAATTAGTGCCTTAAAGTTTAAGGAAAATTCCGCTTCCTAAAGCAAGTCAGGGGAAAGGCTGAAAGAATATCATCTGTGAAGGAACATAGCAGAACAATGGATCCAGCTCATACTGGCTTACAAGAGCTGATTATTAAACTTTGAAGAATTTTGTGAACTAGCTGTTTTGCATTGTCATTACTAAAAATTTAAACTGTATAAATCTCTATGTCTTAGTTACCTTTCTCATTGCTGAGACAAAATACCTAACTCACACAAGTTAAGGGAGGAAAGGTTTATTTAGCTCACAGTATGTGGAGGTGTCAGTTCATAATCAGCTGGCTCTAAGGCAGGGTGGCACATGATAGAGGGGTAACACTTTATGTGGACCAAAGGTAGCAAAACAACAAGGAAATTTAACAGTGTGTTTCTGTCCCTTTTATCTTATCTAGACTACCTAGGGTGTGTAGCACTCACCCCTTAACCCTAGTGCCTCTGAGCCTAGCATTGTGCTATGAGTCAATTCCAGAGTCACACACTCTAGATACAGCCACCTCTAAAAATCCCCACCTATGATGACCACAAGGCTTTGGGGACATCTAGACACAAGCCATAACACTCTGCTATAGCAAAGCAAAGTAATAACTATTTAAGGCTCATCACTTTCTAATTACTTTTACTACATCTTACTATTATCCATGCTCTTGAGGTTATTTGTCCTTGTTATATCAGTATAAACAAAGCCCTAATATATGTCTTAGTTGTTTCACTGTCATCTTATTCCTTAACAAAACTGTCAAGCAGCAGTCACAGAATTAACTATAACTGTACATTACTATGAATGCAAAAGTTCAGGAAAAATTTTAAAAATGAAAGGGAATAAGGGAAAAGAAAAAATATGAGAAAATGAAAAAATGGAAATAAAGTGTTTGTAAATGGGGAGGGGAGGAGGGGGTGAAAGGAGGGCAGGGACAAAAGGGAAAAATGAGAACCAAGACCTGTCATGTAAAGGTACAAGATCCCAGTAATGAATGTAACTGTACTGTATACCTAGAATGTACCAATAAACTCAATAAAAGGAAAAAAATTTTAAATGAATTCTTTGTGAATCAACTGGCTATATGGAATTTATAATAGAGAATATTTTATATTTTAAATATTTGTATAATTACAGGACCCTTTTAACATATACAAATACTGCTGGTATGAACTGAATTGTGTCCTCCACCTTACCCCCCAAATTGTTATGTTGAAGCCCTAATGTTTGGAGATAGGATATTTAGCAGGTAAACAAGGTCATAAGGTTCAAGACATAATCCTTATCTGATTTCAAACTCAATCCACACCCCCACACCTCTGCTGAGCACAGAGAATAGCAGCCAAGAGAAAAAGACACAAAATAAAGCCACACTGCTGGTAATTTGATCTTGAATTTTCAAGCCTATAGTGTGGACCTATGAGGAAAAAGATGGCATTTTACTATGGCTGGCACACACATGAACGTACATGCATTGACAGAAAAATAATTATAACATTAGAAAGTGATAAGTACTCTAAAAATATGGACTAAGTGACACTTGAGAGAAAGTGAGGGCCTGAATTTGGGAAACAGCCTTAGAAAAAGAGACACTCATATTTTAAGAGAGCACCATTTGACTTGTGGGCTACAGCTGACTAGCACTTAGACTGCCCAAAGGTCTTGGAGGATAAACACAAATCTGAGAGGGCAGGAGCATGATAGATTTGGATTTTCCCAGTGGCATACTAGAGGGCCTATAGGTTTTAGTCAGCTCCTTCTCTCCCTCAGTGTTTGATTCTCAGTCCACTGCTCTTCTGATGGATTCTTCTCTGCATCTCTTCTCTCGGTTTCAGCAGATTATCCCTTCTTAGCTACACATCTAATCAGTTACCAAATCTTGAAGTTACCATCTTTCCAAACCATCTTTCCTCTTCTCTTCCTCCACAAACTGTCTCAGTCCAAAAATCTTCTAGATGTAGGCAACTTTCCCAACAAATTTCCTAGCTTCCCTTTTGATCATCATCAACCCTGTTGTCAGAGTGATTTTTCTAAGTCTGAAGATATTACACTTCTGCTTAAAGTTGTACCATGGCTCTCTGGTACAAAAGAAGTTCAGATTCTTTGCTTAGCGCATCATTTTTTTCATTTCTATCCCAAATCTTTTTACAGTTCCCTGACTAGTCCCTTCTTTCTGTTCATACTGAACTAATTCTCAGTCCTGTTACTTCGTGACTGGTATCTTCTTTCTGTTCATACTGAGCTAGATCTCTGTTCTACTACTTCTTGTACTTTTCTTTTCCTCTGTCTGCAGTCTCCTGTTGTCACCAAGTTCTTTTCCTTCACAATTTAGGGCCAGAATTATCTTTTCCAGGAAGCCTCCTAAGCACCTTGTGCTCCCTGAAATAACTCAGCCTCTGACCATTTTGTAAGAGTTTATGTTGTGAGTTAGTCTTGTCTGTCTCTCATTCAGTTTGTGTTATAGTCATCTTATTATTCTCCATGCTAAATAAAGAACCTGCCACATAGGAGGCTTTGTAAGATTTGTTGAAAAATTTTTAGAAGTTGAACAATAGAGCTCGAAGGAGAGATTTTCAAAGATGCTTCTGAGGCCTCTACATTATGGAGTAGAGAGATTCTGTGGTTTGAATAGGAGCAGGGAGGATCAACCTCTTGCCGGAGACAGGCAAAATTTGGCTAATCTTACTCCTTAGTTCACTGAGCCAAAGACTAACTAGCAGCACAGGTGGAGCCGAAAGGAAAAAAAAACTACACTTCCCGTCATGCTTCCGGACACCGCTCCCGTTTGCCCTCGCAGTCAGTCTCATCCCCACGGAACTGAAAGAAGTACTTCCGGGTTCGGCAATAACCGGGAGCCGGCAGCTTTAGGCAGTCCTTTACGGCCTTGTTCCAAAGCCCCGCCTCCCCTTCGGTCTTTCTAGAAAACTTGCTTTGATTCCGCCTTGCGGGATAGGTATTTCCCGGCCGCTGCGCGTGATTTTGGAGCAGTGTGTTGTACCGGGGACGGCGATACCTTGCCCTCTGAAGTCTCGGAGTTCCCGCAAGGGGAGGCGGGCCTGTGAAACCCAGCGAGGAAGCCGGTTTCCCGGGTCGTGGCCCCAGTGCTGACGTTCTGTCACTTCTCTCCGCGGTTACACCGTCGCAGGCGCGAATTCGTCTCTCATGGCTGATACGACCCCAAACGGCCCCCAGGGGGCGGGCGCTGTGGTGAGTGGGCAGGGTCGTCTGATTTGCAAGAGTTAGGAAGCAGCAGGAAGTGTTGCGAGGTTCCAAGGCGTTCCAGAAGCTCAGAGCTTTCTGGACCGGAATTAGTGAGGGGGGTAAGGGGGATGTAAATGAGAGCTCCCAAGTTTCTTTCTGAAGCGACCGTGGCTGGCCTGGAGCAGGTGTGCCATGGAAATGGCCCCTTCCTGCCTCTTCCTATTATCCTAGCCCTAGATCCCAAGGCTGAAGATGTCATTCATGGCGCACCCGTGTGCTGACAGAGAACCTTTTACTTACTTTTATAGCATATAGAAATTACGCAAAAAGAGATTGGTCTGCTTTTCTTTCTTCATGAAAAGAAATATCATTACGCTTTTGTAAATGTTTTATTTTTAAGATACAGATCTGCAGCTTTCTAGTTATTTGTACCCGAAACATTATTTTCTTTTAGTTTTAAAACTGAATTTGTGAACTGTGCAAGTTTTTTTTTTATTGCAACATTCTTGTATACACACTTTAATTTTGCTGACCCATTTGAGTTAATCATGTTCGTTAACCCAGAATGCTTTGGTGTTCTTCCACATGACCACTGCAGTTAATCACATTTGGAAAATTTTAAATTGATAGGTTATTATCCAATATGCAATCCATGTTCAGATTTCAGTAATTGTTCCTTTAAAGCTTCTTCCTCCACGATTTATCCAAAAAGCATGCATTGCACTTACTGGTGATATATCTTAGTCTATCATAATCCAAAACAGTTACTCTGTCCTATCCCTTTTATATCTTTCAAAATACAAATAGTTTTCAAGAGTCTAGACCTGCAGAATGTTTCTCACATGGGTTACATGAGTAATATTGTGTCCCTTCTCCGTGCATATATGAGGCATTTTGCACTGATTAATTCTGTGTTGGGGAATTTAAGTTTGATTATTTGGTTAAGGTGATGTCCATCAGTTTCTCCACTGTAAAGACCTTTACTCATTTATAATTGAAGAGTATTCTGCAGCATGAGACTGACATTGTGACTGTTTTGCTCCTCAACAGTTTTTCACCCAAAAGTCCAGTATATTTCGCCTGTAAAACATTACTAACTATGGAGCTTGGAGTAGTTCACTCTTAAAAGTGTAAATCAGTTACACCTTTTCACCTTGTGTAATAAAACGCACACCTGTAAAGTCCCAAATGAAGTGCATATCTCATTTATTGAAAAATAAATACCCCACACAAATTATTTAAAAATGTTAAAATTTCCCAAGATATATCATGTAAAGTTACAAAATCAACTATGATGTAGAGTTTGGATATTTGTAGAGAAATTGAGCACAGTAAATTAAATTTATCCTTTCACTTAATTGCTGCTCATCCTTTAAATTTAGGGGAATTATAGTGTGATATGTCTGGATAGAATAAATCAGGTGTGTTTCATATTTGTGAAATTAGTTGCATGTGAAATTAAGAAGACATACAGTTAAACTTCCTTGAATTTGAAAATGTACTTGCATTTTCTTCCAAAAAATTTACATTTATTCTCTGAAATATAATGGAGTTAAATTGCTTTAAGCAGTACTTTTTTAGTTTATAAAAACATGAAAATATTCATTTAACATTTAATAAAGAAGCCACATTTAAATGCACATTAGCTGTTCAGAGCACTTTGTAGTTTTGAACCTCAGACCAAATACACCGATTAATCCATAATTTCTTCCATAATTTACTTTTATTTTTACAAATTACACCATGATAAAACTTGACAGAAGTTACTCATGTGAAACAGTTTGCTGTAACATTGTGTAAGTTAACTAGGTACATAACACAAGAGATTTTGTTGCTGTTTGTACCGGGAGTTCTCATGATTTTAGCATTGTACAACTTGAAGCTGAGACTGCACTGAGAAATAAGTTTAGAAGATGGCATTACAAAAGACTGGGAGTGAGTGGTTAAGAAAATAAAAAAAAGCAAAAACATGCAGGCATGCCAGGCTACAGCAAGTCTGCTATTTTCACTGCCACAAATCTTTGCTGTGGCCAAACTTAAACAGCAGTCCTCCAAAAAATATGAAGGCTTTTTGGAAGAATACAGCAATACCAGGATATACTAAGGGTTTTTCCTTAGCAGTATATACTCCAAAGAGAATCCACATAGACACAATCAGAGATCCAAAGGCCTGAATGAAACCAGTGAACAGCCAAATGCATGCACCTGTTTGACTCAGACAAGCTTCACTGTAACTATCACTCTGGACTTGTCCATTTGATACTGCATTAATCATTAAGGCTGTGGTTGCCATAACACCACAGCCATGGTGTGAGTGGTTGAACTCTTCCATACCAGGATACATAACAGCTTCATCTATGATAATCCACCAGCCTCTGAAAAACAGAACACCAGTAGAGATGGAACCCTCAGTATTGCACTTTTCCACTTAATCAGTGCATTCTAAACATCTCAGACATAGAAATCCAAATTTTAGTGCAGTCTGGCCCTGGGCGTGCAGTAGGTCTGGTGCCCAGTGTGGGGCTACCTCACTCCTAAAGCATTATTTTTTTCAAGTAGTACCATTTTGAAACAGTTGAGTGGAAGCACTCAACTCATTTTAAAAAAAGAAAATCCCAAAGTCCATCGTTATGTACTAAGGATAAATGATTTTGTGAAACTGTACACCCATGTTTTATATACCTGTGTATGTTTGTAATTAGATTGTGATGTTAAATGTTGTTGAAAATGTGAGTCTGCTTATAATTTAAGTATAAATGGTAAAATCTTAATGTTAAAACAGACTTTATGGGCCAGGGATTTAGTTCAGTGGTCCCGCCGCCTGCCTTACAAGTGCAAGGTCCCGAGTTCGATCCCCAGTACCAAAAAAACCCACACTTTAAGATGTTCTTGCTTCAACTGCGCATGGTGGCACACGCCTGTAATCCCAGCACTCAGGAGGCTGAGGGAAGAGGATAACTGTGAATTTGAGACCAGCCTGGGCTACATAGTGAGTTCCAGGTCAGTCTCAACTACACAGTGAGACCCTGTCTCAAAAAACAAAAAACAAACAAACAAAAGACAAAGATGTTCTTGCTTCAGTAGTAATAGACCCAAATGGGAATAAAGCAAAGAAACAGACAAAAAAAAAAGAAGAAGAAGAAGTGGAGAAGAAAATGGTAAATGAAAGTTTAATTTAGTGCCACTGGAACTAGTATAAAACTTATGGGAGAACCTTCAGGGAATGCAGAATTATAGAAAAGCAGATATCATTTAATACCTGACAACTGTATTTTGAGTACCTTAGATAGGCTAGGCCCTTCTGTATGTCATCAGTAGACTAAGAAGTTTGATAGGAACAATTGCATGGTTTTCCATTTCTCTTTCAAAAGATTATTTAATCCAGACTGGATTTATATGATGCCTTCTTAACTCAGCTCAGAGACATACCTATTTGGATTTGAGATTTTTCTAAGAATAGGCATATTTCTCTTGAGAGCAATTAGTTCTTATTTAATTTTTTTAAAACAGGAACCAGAATTGTAAGTGTGGAAGAAACATAGCCAATTGTAAATTTTTCCATTTTTTCTAATTTTTTTCAAAAATTTTAAAATATCAACTGATTTTATTTTTTGGTTGGTTTATTTAAGTATTTCCTGTATTTTCCACATCCAAAGTACAGACTATTTGGACATATCATTGCACATACAAGTTGAAAGAGTTAATAAGTTTTCATTTAATGATCTAAAAACAAATGTTACCTGTTTGTTAAAATAGTTTGTTTTGTTTTGTTTTGATCTAAATTCCCGCCCTGTTAAAATATTTTGAATAGAATAACAATTCTATGCTCTTTATCCTTAAAAACATAATTTTCAGGTTTAGATTACTACAATATTTTTCTTTTTAAATGTAGCAATTCATGATGACCAATAAACTGGACACAGCAATGTGGCTTTCCCGATTGTTCACAGTTTACTGCTCTGCTTTGTTTGTTCTGCCTCTTCTTGGGTATGTATTATATGTTTCTGACTTTGATAAGCCAGTTGTACTGGCAATTTATGAGATGTCTTTCAGTTGTAAGAATTACTAAACTGTAAAGTTTAGGGACAGAATCACTAATAAAAAAGTCACTAATAACCTGGTAATCAGTTGGAGAAGTATTTACTATCTTGTTTTATGTCTTGTGGTTTGTGAAACTAATATCACTTTGAAAGTCTGAAGAAAAAATATATGCATAGATGGAGTGAGTTCATGGTTTCTGCTTTTCTTTTTTTAAACTTGATAGGAAAAATTGCTGTTTTATAAAATTCAGTTGACATGTGAAGAGATGTTTTTAAGAAGGTAGAATTGGTTAAAGTAATTTTTATATTGGCAATTAAATGAGTTAGATGTTGTACAATTCTGATGCAACTCACAAAGGAGGAAGAGACATGGTGGTTGTTTATGTCTCGTGATAACTTCTCCTCTGGTAATTTGCAGGTTGCATGAAGCAGCAAGCTTTTATCAACGCGCTTTGCTGGCAAATGCTCTGACCAGTGCTCTGAGACTGCATCAAAGATTACCACACTTCCAGTTAAGCAGAGCGTTCCTGGCCCAGGCTTTGTTAGAGGACAGCTGCCACTACCTGTTGTATTCGCTCATCTTTGTCAATTCTTACCCTGTTACAAGTATCCTTTTCTACTCTTTTGACAGTGAGATTACCAGCTATGCATTTGGGAGATCTCTATGTTTTGATAGGAAGGATTCAGTAATGAGAATATTTCATGAAGCATGGGTTTGTTTGCTTTTTTGGCTCTTCATCTCTGTGAGAAAGATACGTTTAATGTAAGAATTTCTGACTCTATTATTTAAAATCTGAACGTTGAAGAGCTGATTTTTAAACTTTGTCAATGTTCTTGTCTATATTAGCAATGGATGTCCAAAAACTTAGATTCTCATGGTGATTTGTGCCTGTAATCCCTGTACTGTGGGAAGCTGAGCCAGGAGGAATGCAATTTTGAGCCCAGCATGGGCATTTGAGTCACTTAGCAAGACCGTGTCTCAAAATACCAAATAAAATGGTCTGATGATGTAGCTTAGTGCAAAAGGCCCTGGGTTCAGTCTCCAGTACTGCGCATATACAAAAAAATTAAGATTCAGACCACAAGTTCACATAAGACTTCTAAATATTTGAAAATTTCTTTCTTTAATTCTTATGTTTGGGAAAGTATCCAGATCTCTTGCTTCCAAAAAGAGAGATCCTGAGCTTGTTCATTTCTTACCACCTAGTAAGTTAGAAACAAATGAAAATAAAAAGAATATTCAATATATAAATAAAGTAGGAAAAGAATACACATGGGTAACCCATGTAGCTACTAAAAATTTAATAATTCATTTGGAATTTGTTTTCACAATCAGAGTGTGTTGTAGAATGACAAAATGGGAGTTAATCCAAAAAAGGGAGTCCTAAAACTCACTATGTTTACATAGCAGAAGTTAAACATTTTAAAAATAAGGTTCTTATTATAGAACTTTCATACATTGTGAGTACAAGAGTAATCAGTCTTTCTTTTTCTCCCCTGTAGACCATTCCTCTGGAAATGACACTATTTTGTGCTTTTTGAAGTGTTGCTCTAAGAGTATTTGAATACTTAATGTTATAATTATACATAGTGGAAAACACAATTATTTCTGTAAGATTAAATATTATCCATTTACAAGCATAATGCCTATACCTGTAAAGCTTCAAATTTTAAACAAACTTTTTTTTTTCTTGTTCAGGATTGAACTCAGGTCCTTATACATGCCAGCATATTCTCTACCAGTGAGCTACAACTTCACCTCCTAAATAGACTTATAAGTGTTAGAGAAACTAGAAGAGAAGGAAACTCAAATTTCCTGAGCACCTCAATACTATATGTAGGAACTTGACCTATTTAATCCTAGTTATACTTAAAAAAAAAAATCATGTATTACACTAAAAACTTTGGTTGGAAGCTGAGCATGGTGATGCACGCCTGTAATCCCTGTACTAGGGAGGCTGAGGCAGGAGTATTGCTGCAAGTTCAAGACCAACCTGGGCTACATAGTGAGTTCCAGGTCAGACCCAACTACATAGTGAGACCCTGTCTCAAAACAAAAATTTTTTGGTGGGGGCTGGTAAACAGTAATGCTGACAAGATCGCTCATATTTAAAAGGCATACCAAATTAATAGTTGATGGGCAATTTTTTAGTGCATTGTTTTTTGTGGTACTTAGGATTAGACTCAGATACTCTACCATGGAAGAACTCTCCAACTTTTTTTTTGTTTTTAATTTTGGAAGTGTCTCACTAGTTACTAGTGGATCTCCTGCCTCAGTCTCCCACAGTGTCTGGGATTACAGGTGTATACCACTGCACCTGGCAGTAGTTATAAAATATTTCTCTCTGTTCCTAGGTAGAGCCAGTAATCACTTATATGTGTATTATGTGGAGATTCTGTTTAAAGTTATTTTATCAGAATAATGTAAGTAGGTAAGGGTATAAGAATAAAGCTTTTTGGTCTGGGAGCCGCCACCTGCCTCGCAAGCGCAAGGACCCGAGTTCAATCCCAGATAACAGAAAAGAAAGAATAAAGCTTTTTATGTTTTAATGTGTGGGTCTGTAATGTCACATAATTTGTATTTGTTTATTTTTTGGTAAAACTACATGATTGTTTTTTCACAGCTGTCTGTTTATTTGGCTATCGGCTTGACTAGCTCTTACACTCATTCATTGAGAAGCTTTGCAATCACAATTATTAAAATTCTTGTTTTTCTGAGATACTGTGGGAAGATATATAAAGGCTCTTGGTTGTGCCTTTTAATAGCTTCAAATTTCCTTGGAGAGAAAAATAAAAGTGAAAAAAATATATTCTGAATAATTAATGTAGAGCAAAATTGAATACATCGGTACTGAACTCTCGGACAGTGCTTGGCACAGATGGGTGCCCAGTATGTTTTGTTGAATAAATCCTCAGGTCATACAAGTGAGACTGGCCGTACAGACAACCTTTCTGCCTCTTCTCTGTGGTTGGTTATTTGCTAACCTGTCTCATGGGACTATTGAAGATTTCATATTCCCTGCATTCTTTATGGGAGGAGAAGTGGCAAGCAGTGGGAATAGCAAATACTTATCTGATTCCTAAGGAAATTAGGTAAGAGTGATAATTTTACCTGCTGTGTTAATGACAAGTACAGGTACTTGGGGTTAAAATTGTGCTTACAGCCCTTACCATTTCTAAATAGTTTAAAAAGTGACACTGAAAGCTAAGATGACTTTCTAGTTATGGATGTATGACCTGTATAGTATTAGAGATGGATTTTTTAATTGTACAATAGTCGAGATGAACAGCTCATTAGAAATATCCAGCTTTGACTTGTATGTAGTCTTTTTTTGGGTTTACAGGCCTTGAAATGGATATTTAGCCCAAGCTGGCCTTGAACTTACTTGAAAGAGAATGAAACAGTCTAGGAAAATTAGTGGGTGACCGAGTCAGGACTGAAACCCAGATAGCTCAACTCTCAACTCAGAGTTCTGTTTCACTACCTGACACTACCTCTATTATTGAATCAGTCTTCAAGTCTAGATATATGTTGAAGTTTAAATTTAACTATTTAAACTGCAGTAAAGTTTCACAGCTGCCTTGGGAGAGCATTATAGTTTTCATCCGTTTAGAAAGGGTGTATCTGTGATTCATTAAAATGTTTAAGACTATATTCTGGTGAGTGTATGTGATCTTTACTCAAAAAATTGACATTTTTACCTAATTTGTGTGAGTAGTAAGAAAGAACTGTTGAGAATATTAATTTGGAGAATTAGTGTATTGTTAGAGAATTAGATTTTTTTCTAATAACTTAGATAAATGCCCACCAATTAGAAATTAGGAAATTTGGAGTCCTAAATGAGTTGTGGTTATAATGAATTTGATACTCAGATTATGTTATAGCAGTCACCATTTCCCATCCATATCATGTCTGCATCTAGGATAGAAAAATATAATTCATTTCTTAGAAACTGCTAGTATTTTGAGAGTTAGTATTTTTGTCATTCATGATTGATTAACAGTATCATTTCATGGAAATACTTAAGTACTGTGTTATTGTTTTTATCAACTTGGCAGTAATTGGGGTGGTGAGTGAGATCTTCTGAGCAATTTCCATTTTTCAAAAAGCTGAATGAAAATATATATTCCATGGCATAAAGCCAAACCGTTGGATTTAAGTATAAGGATTTTGTGTCTGTCTGTACTTGAACTGTTCAGAACATATTGAAATAGCTTTTTAGTTTCAGTATCTCAAAATTACGAGGTTTTTGTAGGAAAGAAATAATAAAAGATCTTTAGCTGAGGAAAATTTGGGAATTAACTCTTTTAATTCTTCCTTCAGACTCTTTCCTCATAGTGAAGATCTGTGAGAGCACTCAGAGACTATTTGAAGGCTCAGAGTGGCCACAATGCCCATTGTAAAGTTAAAAGTTGCATGTAATTTTCTGAGGTGGCCTGGGTTTTAATATAATTTGGCAACTGTTTGCAGTGCTTTTAATAACCAGTAGAAATAGATGAGAAAAACCTTTCTTTGTCTTTTTTCTTTATAAAAAGAATGGTGAGTTTAGAAAGTGAAATATTTCTTTATTAATAAATAACAAAACTGTTTGATTCAAGGTATGTCAGTAAAACAAAAGCATTGCGCTGAAGTCATTTTGCAGGTATTTCAGATCTGTATATTTGGACATAGTGCATACCTTATTTTGCAAAATACTTAATGACTTGTAAATATTTTCCTTAATTATTTTCTTCAGTGAGTATTTTCCCAGTCTTGTTGTTCTCTTTGCTTCATGCTGCCACATACACTAAAAAGGTCCTTGATGTAAGTAGAATTATGCTATTTCTTTGATTCCTGGATTATAGGTAGTTGGCATAAGTTTGAGTTCTAAGACCTTTTGGCATTTGTCAGAGAGAATCCCTTCAAAAATTATTTAGTGATTTGAAAAATTTGAGTTTGAAAGTTTTTATTATTGAAGTAGCACAAACATTTTGTAAGATAAGATTGCGCTGTTATCCCCCCACCCAGTTCTTAGAGGGTTTAGTGAAATCTGAAATAGATCACTTTGTTTTTTAAAATATACGTATCTTTTAAGCTTGATGAGTTGTCTTGTTCTGTCAATATATAATTCTAGCATAACAGATAAATAAGTGTATATTGAGCATGTTCTTTTTTACATTAATGTTAACTGTTGGTGTCCTGAATTCTTTTTTTTGTCTCCTTAAATTTTTATTGCTGGACTGGAACATTAAGTTTAACTTAAGTGTGCCAGGAGGATATATTGCATATGCATTGAAATTTGAACTAAAATACCCCAATTTATGCCTTTTATTGGCCTTTTTCTTTATCTTATAATTCTTTGGTTATATCAGCAATTAGGTCTCCTTAATTTCTACTATTAGCTAAGGAGCCATACATTTTATTTGTATTACTGGATAGTCATATTTTTGTTCTGATTGGAAGGCGATAACCACCATTTCTTATAAAATAATGTTACCTTTAAAAATCACATCTAACAATGAAAAGTACTTTTGTTAATGTGGTTTTGGTTGTCTTCAAATATACAAAATAAAATAAGGAAGATACATTAATGTCCTTCTTTAATTTGTAAACTTATGATTATTTTCAAATGATTGGCTTTTGGTAATATGATTTGTAGGATATACCAGTTGCTTACTTAAAGAAAATATTGCCACCACTCAGTATCTCTGGGTTCTGCATCTGTGGATTTATCCAACTGCAGTCTAAAAGTACTTGCCAAAAAAAGTTGTGACTGTGCTGAACACACACAGACTTGTTGTCATTTTTAAACAATATAGTGTAACTTTTTACATAACATTTACATTATACTAGGTATTATAAGTGATCTGGAGATGATTTGAAGCATGAGAAGATATATGTAGATATATGTAGGTTATATGCAAATAGTTTATTTTAAATAGGAGTCCAAGCTCCCATGGATACTGAGGGATGACTAACTGATTTACCAAAATGCTTCATTATTTGTAATATTTGTTTTCTTTTGTTTTAGGCAAAGGGTTCGAATAGTTTACCTCTGCTGAGAGCTGTCTTGGATAAATTAAGTGCTAATCAACAAAATATTCTGAAATTCATTGCTTGTAATGAAATTTTCTTGATGCCTGCTACAGTTTTTATGCTTTTTAGGTAAGAAAAAAATGCATCTGTTTTTGAAAGACTGGTAAGTGAATATAATAAAGGTATTAACTCAAATTTTATGTTGGTTGAATCAGTTGAAGTAGATATTGACACAAAGAGCTAGATGGATCTTAGTAATCACTTTAGTAAAAAAGCCAGACATAGCCAGGCGCAGTGGCACACGCCTGTAATCCCAGCACTTTGGAGGCTGAGGCAGGAGGATCACTGTGAATTCGAGACCAGCCTGGGCTACATAGTGAGTTTCAGGTCAGTCTCAACTATGTAGTGAGACCCTGTCTCAAAAAAAAAAAAAAAAAAAAAGGCCAGACAAAATAGTAAACCTAGGAATTTAGCATGTATTCCTTATACATCATTTAACATTTTGAAAATTAATTTCAAAGTTACGACTTTGGAAAAAGTCTTGAGACATCTATTTTTTTCCATTTTTGCCATTACTGAGATGATTTTTTAAAGTCAAGAAAATAATAAGTATGCCAAGTGTGCTGGTGCTACTTAGGAGCCTGAAGGAGAGTTACCAAATACTCAAGCCCAACCTGGACACCTTAGTGAAACCTTATCTCAAAGTTAAAAAAAAAAAAAAAAAAAAGGATTAGGGATGTAATTCAGTGGTAGAGCACCCCACTGGGTTCAATCCCCAGAACTAAAAATATTAGTCTTACATCAATAGTTGCCTATCACCTATCAGTATCCTAGACTGGCCTTGAACTCATGGCAATGCCTCAGTCTCCCAGGTGCTGTGATTACAAGTGTGTGCCACCAGGCCTGGCTGCCTCCTTATTTTGTTTGTGTCGTAAGTGTGGAAGTAATGCACAAATAAAACAAGCTTTCCTTTTGAAAGTTGGAACATTAAATAGTGTTGATTTTTCCATTGGTGATCTTGGAGTTAAGTTTTAAGAACAATGTACATTTCTACCTTTAAATTTTCAGTTTTGTAAGGAATAGGACATTATAAGTAAAAACTAATATATCATTTGATTATGAATCTTAGTTGCAGTTCTGTCCTTTGCTTCCCAGAGAGGGCTTCAATATGTGTCCATGTATGTAGTCCTTTAAAAATGCTGACATAGGGGCTGGGGATTTAGCTCAGCGGTTCGGTGGCCTGCCTTGCAAGCGCAAGGTCCCGAGTTCAATCCCCGGTACCCCAAAAAAAAAAAAAATGCTGACATAAATATGTAGGAAAGCCCTATCATTATATTGTGGGTGTCAGGTTTTGTTTACTCGTTATTTGTATTTGACATAGGTATCATGTGTCATTTACATACACCCTGCTTTTTTCATTTATGTTTTCATGGTCACTGATTTGTTCTGGTTTGTGCAGTTCTGGTTTGCTTCATACTGTATACTGTTCCTTCAGATTAGTGTGCTATTACACATTCCTCTGATAGTAGACGTTTGTTTCCACATTTTTTTCTGAATATTAACACAGTCAACATCTTTTTACACTTATACACCAGTGTTTTAACTTACAGACGAGACTGATTTTACTCTTGATTAAGCTAAGTGCATTTTGTGTTTAATAGATCATGCCAAAATGTCCTTTAAAATGTTTGTGTACCTGTTTTTTTATATTTGAAATTTTAGTACATTATTTTGATCATAAAGTTATATTTTATAATTTTTCAGGTTCATTACATTGGCTGACTAATGGTGCTCTCATATATCTGACAATCCCTGCATTTTTTTCAGCACTGGGAAGTGAACCCAGGGCCTACTACTCAGCTACTGAGCTACATTCTATCTCCACCTTTTTTTTTTTTTTTTTTTTTGAGACAGACTGGCCTCAAAGTTGTAGTCTTCCTGCCCCAGCGTCCTGAGTAGCTGGGATTATAAGCATGAACCTCTGTACCCAGCAATAACACCTCTCCACCCCAGGGTACTGGCAGTTAAACCCAAGGCTTCAAACTCAGACATGCTAGGCAAGTGCTCTGCCTACATCCTCCTTTCTTTAGGGGTCACATTTTACACTTCTTACAGATTTCTTTACAAATGAATCTCTTCCATTCTTTTAAGCAGTGCTTTCCACCAGGGAAATTCTAGGGTTGCTACATGTTGCATAAGTTGTGGGGGGCACAACTACATAATATCATTTAAATAAAGTTCTAGAATAATAAAATTAAAAGATTTCTTAGATATTATGAACCCAGATTCCAGTTCATTAGACCATTATCCTTTTTTTTTTTTTTTTT